TATAAAGCTATCGTTAGCAATAACGTTTCAAAGGGTATTTCCCGCTTTGGGTCCTCTTTTATAAGTCGTGCGAGGGCCCAAGACGGACCCAGATATTGCCTACTAAAATCAAAACTAAAATAGAAAAAAAAATTAACGACACGGGCGAGACTTGAACCGCCATCTACAGTGATCCTATTGATATATGCACCTCTCGCACAATGTAATTTCAACCGTAACACTTACGTGATGAAGTACAATTCTATATGCTTTACAGCATAAGTAATCATTGAATTTTAAATTACATAGATCAACGTTTAAAAACTTTAAAAGAAACAAGGTTTAACTGATATATTCGTTCAGCAATCATAGTTTTATTTATGCTCTGTATTTTAACTAAATTTGTATATTTATAGTAATGTAATTGTATATCTATTATTATTAAGATTTTCTATTGGCGGTAGAAGGCCGGGTAATCAGTCCACAAATCGGCTTTCAAAAGAAAAAAAATGGTATTTCTACAATTTTAGTCTTTACTCTGTGTTGCGGACAGCGCCCTCTTCGGGTAATCGTTGGAAACTATTATTGTTCATGTTGTTGCGTTCAGCTGAGTCTGTCTATAACAGTTTTGTATTTATCATCTATTTAATGTTATATTATGTAAGTAATTGTGATAAAAAGTTGACAGTGCCGAAATAAATATATAAAACTAAAGTGACTTTATACTTACTCGGTGCATCTATCGAGTCCAGAGGCGTCAACGGTAAAGTGGGCGTGGCTAGTTCTCGACATTCAGCGCCCAATTCCACGCGGGGTGATAAGTCTGTGACAATCCAAATCAATCATAATCTTACAATTCTTATTTGTCAAATGTAAAGACAAGCATGGGCTTAGAAGATCAAATACCCTAGCCAAATAATCGGAATACCCTATTTCGGCTTTCAACATTCAAAATCCACAGACTGAAACCGACACACGATTGTACTTCAGGGTTTTACCACAGATGGAATGTTGATATTCAAACGACCCTTTAATTACACATCTCAATAATGCACTACGATGGTTCGACACATAGGAGATGCTTATTATTATATTGTTATCACTCATTTAACACTCAGACTTTTCTGACGAATTTCAACGTGTTTCAAGAGTACGATCAGACAAATTTCAGATAAATTGATGGTTTAACGTAAATTCCCTGTGGGAATCGAAGCCACGACGTATTATTCGCCATGGACCACTTACTAACCTTCTTTGATATGCGCCTGTGAGGGGTTCGTTGGTCCCTGGTACACACCGTTCACTGGGTTTACTGTGTTCTGTAAAAACAAAAATCATTAAATAAAAACACATATTTTTTTATCATAAGGAAAACCATGGGATCCACTTGGTGGAAGGTGAAATAACTCAGCCATATAACATCTAGCACGATGCACTGTCGACCTATTTTGGTTTTGGCTATTCGGAAACCCACAGAATGAAACCCAAACGTGAGTGAACTCCACTTAATCTGTAGACTACAGTCATTGCTTTCATATTAGTAATTGTATTTAATTAATCTAGATCTACTACTTTTATGAGCTATGTATATAGTTAAAGTTTAGTATATTTTATTTAAGAATCGAAAATACAGGGTGTCTGGTGGCAGATTTATGTTTTCAAATTGAAATAAAAAATAATATGTTTGACATATAATTTAACTAAAAGCATTAAAAGACAGAGTACAAATGCGGATTTCATTTTTTAAAGGTAATGTCATCCAAATGTCTTACATCCTGTTGCACACACTGTTCGAAACGGAGCCTCGTATTCCGTGCCACACGCTGCAGTAAACTGTGTTCAATTGCGCTGATTTCTCGCCGAATATTTTCTTTTAAGTCCACAACAGTTCGCGGATTATTGGCGTAAACTCTCTCTTTGAGGTAGCCCCACAAAAAAAAATCCATTGGAGTTAGGTCGGGTGACCTCGGTGGCCACGGGATGTCCCCAAAGCGACTAATCAGTTTTTGAGGGAGATTTTCTCGCAACAAATCCATCGAAGCTCTGGCCGTGTGTGCGGTCGCACCATCCTGTTGAAACCACGTGTGTGATGAGAATGATGAATGAGCTCGCAGGTTCGGCAAAAAGAAATTCGAAATCATGAGCCGATAATTCTCACCATTGACATTCGTCGCTTGGCCCCGTGCATTTTCAAAAAAAAATGGTCCGATTATCCCATTCGTGGATAAAGCGCACCAAACAGTTACCCTTGGGCAATGTAATGGTTTTTGGTGCTTCAGTCGAGGATTGCGAGTTCTAAGAGCCCAGTAACGGCAATTTTGCTTGTTTACGTGTCCGTTTAAATGAAAATGAGCCTCGTCGCTCCAAAAAATGGAATTCACAGTGCGAAAACGCTCCAACATGGTTTCACAAAAAAATTTGCGTGACGCAAAGTCATTTTTTTTCAATTCTTGAATGATTTGGATTTTAAAAGGATGAAACTTCATATCTTTTGTCTAAATTTCATGCACAATTGCTCTTGGAAGTCCCAGTGAAGCTGCCCTTTTCCGTATCGAAAGTCGTGCATCTTCACGTAAACTGCGTTCAACCAGTTCAATGTTTTCGGGAGTCCTTGACGATCGACTAGGTCCTGGCCGTGGTGTGTTCATAGCCGAAGCAGTTGCGCGGAACCTCTCCACCCACGAACGAATTAAATTCACACTCGGTCCATCGCCTATCCGTCGAATATTGAAATGTGAACAAAACTGTCGGCGAGCGAGTACGTAAGAATCGTTACTCTTGAAAAATGCTTCAATAGCGAACGCGCGATGCTCACCCGACCACTGCGACATGGTGACTAAGAAATCCGCACGATCGGTGATTCTAATGACACCACTTTCCCCCCGCAGTGTTTACAACTTATTAAGATATTCAATTTTAAAAATATAAATCTGCCGCCAGACACCCTGTACATAAATTGAAAAAGTTTTCGACTCGATCAGGACTTGAACCGGCATCGTCAGCGTTCCGTGCTGTTGCACTACCAACTGAGCTGCCGAGTCCTATACGTCATCGTCGATTTTTTTCAACTCACACATTGCGCCTCTCGCGCATTGTAATTTCAACCTCAACACTTGCGTGTACAAAACAAATGTACAAAATCGAATGAAATAACCTCCGCGACGGTATATATCTTTCAAGATTAACTCACATCAAACTTCGTTGAAATACTAATTTCGTTTACACTTTAAATCGAACTGCACTTCAAATACACTTAGGACCCAGAAAAGCCAAACAATTTACTACAA